AGATAGATAGATAGATAGATAGATAGATAGATAGATAGATAGATAGACAGACAGATAGATAAAGACAGAGAGATACATAGATATTCCTTCTGTCTATTCTAGAGAACCTTGACTAACACAGCATGGAGGGGCCTGGTTTGGAAGATACAGCAAGTTTGTGTTTCCAGAATTGAGCTCTGCAAACTTGCTTATTTCTAATTTCCTTTTCTTTCATGGTAGGTGTTTACATAGGCAAAACCGTTTCTGGATTTTGGAAAAATAATGAAACCGTATGGTATGACATGACAGATATGATCTATACAGTCCTTAAAGATGGTAATTTTTCTGGCTGCCTTCGTCTTCATTATTTCATTTATATTAAAAATCATTCAGTATTTCTGAAGTGTCTTTACTAAAGAGCTCACGGTCTAACCTATAGTGTTATTTGATTTCTTCCTTCAGAACGCAGAGGGCTTACTGTGATAGATATGACTTTAACAAATCATTTTTTAGTCATCCTTACCTCGTTGGGTCTTTTTGTAAGTCCTGATCTTCGTTATCCATCCACTTCACCCATACAGGTATGAAAATTTCTTTGTAATCTATTGATAACTCTTAATGCAGTTTCTGGTATAAAAAGAAATATTTTTAATTGAGTTATGATTAATGTATCTTAGAGTTAAAAATTGTAAAATTTGAAAAACTGTGATGTATATAGCAACTTTTTCCTTTGCTTCATATTATATGATATCTGAGTTGAAATTATCACTAATTTTATTGCTGGGCAATATATAATAATTTTTTAACATATGAAATAGGAAAGATATCATCGATCCATCTACTTGTCTATTTATTTATTGGTTAATATGTTCCCAAAATGCTTTGAGGTATTTTATATAACTAATTGTTATATTAAAATAGCAGAAAAGAAGTGTTGTCAAAGAAATGGTACCTGCCTAAGATGATGGATGTGCCCACCATCCTGACGGTAATTACGTACTCTGCAGGTATAGTGACATGTCATGTTGTTCTCATACATGCATAAAATTGCTAGCTGATTAAAAAGAAAGCAGACCCCCAAAGTGTGCATGTAACTGGATTCAATCCTGTTGAGAATTTTTGTAAGAGGGCAATTGAAAATTATTCCACTGAGAAACAAGGGAAAGTGAAGTTGGGACTGTTTATCCAGACCCAACTATAGAGACTGGAAAGGTTCCTCAGGCAGAGAGTTATAGGAAGAATATGAAAGATAGCATAATGCTGGGATGAAGAGGTATTTACATTTAGATGGAGCTATATGCATACAACAAGCTTCCATCAGGAGACTGAAGGAGAAGCTACACTAATGTTTGGCAATTATCTGCTGGAATACAAGAGAAAACAAAGGGAGTTTTTGTTGTACGACTTAAAACACAAAGGTTTGTCACACCTTCTGAAAAACAAATAATATTTTAACTTTCTTTTTTTCTTCTTCATCTTCCAGCTTTCAAGAGCTGAGTTTTGTGGATTTGAAAGGGTATGTATTTTATTTTCTAATATTGGTTTTAAAATTACATATTTGCTTGGAGACTTGCAAAGCAGTAATTCACAATTTAGATTATTTTCAGTTTAAAGTAAAAAGTTATTTCCATAATGATCAGGGCCTCCTCATTTCAGTGGCCACACTTTCCTGCTGCTGAGTTCTCTCTTGGCTTATGGAAATTGCTCAGGCCATGCTCTGCACAAGGATGCCCAGTTGGAAAGGCTGGAATCTGGCAAATGTTATTTCCCAATTTTCCTGCCCTAGGGTTGTTCTGTACCCACCCAGAAAAAGGAGCACCTCCGTGTTGGACATAAACTGCCATGCGAGCTGCCCACAACTCTATTTCTGTCATTTCAGGGCACTTTTTCCTCTATTACTTTGTTTCCTTCTCTCTTACAGAATCACTCTGTCACATTCGACATTCAACACATTCTCATCAACACATAAACATGTGTTGCCAGTTCTGAAACTGTAAGGAAAATTGTAAATGTTTATTCTTAGGCCCTGGCGTGTCCCCTTCCATGCTGTCCTGTCACTGCCTGGATGAATCCACACTAATTTCCCAGGAACCCAGTAGAACTAATTGTAATATCAAAGTTATGGTGGGAGGAAAAGTGAGACAGAGAGAGGACTGGGAAAGCAGTAGAGAAAACAGGCAATGGAAAGAGCAAATGGAAATAGTTATCTATTACCTCATAGTCAC